GGTAAGTTTCCCTGGACGGACGGACTGACTTGCGGAGCCGGGTCCGGCCGCCCGGGCCGCGCTTCGGTGTGCGGACCTCCCGTATGGTGCGAAAGATTGACTAATCCGAAAATGGCTTGGCCGACGACAGGCTGTACTATGAGTGCTGTTCTCGGCATGTGGTGAGTGTACCTGAAAAGAAGAGTGTTTGGAAGCTTTGGCTGAATCGAAATCTTGCACAGGAGTTCTGGAGAATGACCACATCGGCGTCCCTTGCTTGCCGCGGCTTGATTACCAGGTACGTAAAGGCGACATTGGGGTTGGTCTGTCTGCAGCTGGGGCTGTTTGAGACTTTAAATGGCTAAGGTGAGGTGCTGATCCGGAAATGGGCTGACGGACGTTTGTAGTAATTCTGCCGAACTTCGCTCAGTGCGCGGCGATCAGATCCGCCGCGCCTTTTGGTATTGCTCCATCATGGAAACGTACGTGCATCGCAGATTTACAGTCCATCCCGAGAACCCCAACCCACGCCTCCTCTCCCGGCCCCTGTTCTGCTCATGGATTTTTGGCCAAGGCAGCCTCGACTCGCAGATGGGCACCACGTTCGTTGTTGTCTTGCACTCCGTATACCTTCAGCTGTGGCAGGGTTTGCTTTTCCCACCACAAGAATCCATCATCTAACAACCGGTGCTTTGCTGCAGTGGTCTTCACTTGGAACTCGACCTCCCTTTAACCGGCCTCGAGAAGCTGGAGGCGAGCATGCAGCTGCCGACTTTCTCGGCCTATGCTCATACCGAAGATGCGAGTTTGAGTCAAAGCCTACACAACGACAGGAGATCAAATTGTGGTGAGTTATTCCTTCGCCAGATTTCGTTGCGAAATCTGGGGGTCAAGATCCACAGCAGTCTGAGAAGAAGTGAGTTGATGTCCCCGTCCCCGTTCCCTTCCCCCTTCTGGTTTTGGACCCTCTCTCCATTTCCGTCCACGTTTCCATTTCCACTTTCTTCCCAGCCTGGTCAACGCACGTCGATAACGCCTTGTTTGGCGGCTCCATTTGCGCTTGGCTTCGTATTCTTGTTTTTTTCGCCACCTGCTTCTGCCACAGATGTGCGCCTCGCGTATGGATCCCCCGGATGGGTGCAAGTGCAGCGAGCCGACCTTTCCATACGTCTCATCGGGAGAAAACCCCAATATTCTGACCCTCACTGACACGATGCATATGCAACAGTTCTTGGAGGATCCACTTCGAAAACCAACTGGAACTCGCCGGACCTGGCCGACTCTCTCGAAGATCTAGTCGGCGATTTGGCTTCACAGCTCGACCAGTGGCACACTTCTTTGCCCAGCGTCTTGCATTGGGACAGGACGCAGCATTTGGATGCATTCCAAGCATCCTTTCCGGTTCTCGATCCTCAGGTTCCTGATCAACACTTTTACGCGGCGCCGACCTTGTATACCGCCGACGCTATGGAAGGGTTGCAGTCTGCCCCCATGTTGGGATATATTCACGATTCACTCTACACTAACTCGAACGATGTGCTCGAAGCTCTACTCCGGTCTCGATTCTACCACCTCGAGTACTTACTATTCAGGCCTTTCGTGTACAAAGCCTTGCATACACGAGTAGAAAACTTGACCGAGACCGACTTGTCCGCCACCAAGAGATTCTTGGAAGCTTGCCTTCTCTGGCCTATCATCCTTCCGCCGGCCGCTCAGCACAAACGCATGATTCCTTGTCTCTACTTTTGGTCTCAAAACATCCTCGGCATACTCATCTTCTTGCACCTATCTGCAACACACCCCACTCTCTTCCAAATTCGGCAAAGCCGTTGCGGCTCGACTTTTGATGAGGCAGCGAACATGACGATCACACAGGGCATCAATTGGCTTCGGGGCCTTAAGGACGAAGACAATTCTACACGGTGGTGTTGGACTATTATTCAGGGCTTGTATCCTGACAGAACCATCATGCAACAGTAGGGACGGGGCGCTATGGGCCGATGAACGAGAGAGAGGCGGACTTTGAATAATGTCACCAACGACGCGGCCCCAGTAATCGAAGGCCGCACTTCGACGACTTGGGAAACGGGAAGTCCAGCTGTGCATTCAACGCACTGCGGATGGTGCAAACAGGCATAGAGATCTAGCATCGGGAGACGCAGGGTTGCATACTTTATCAGGTACATGGCGTTCTGGTTTTCGGGGCTCACGATTCGCATCATCGGCATCATTTTCATCACTATATGTATGAACGACGACGACTTGGTTGATTGAGCAAGCCAAGCGATAAGTCTCTGAAACGCATGGACGGTTATAGAAGCAAAGAGGTGGTGACGTCGATAGCCCACTGGCATCACAGGATTAGCATGTAGCTCGGAGTAGGCGAGAGCTACCAGTTCAGCGTGACACTTACACGCTGGACGCCGGGGAGTCTTCTTTTCTTCGCAGGGAAATCTGCGACTTGATTAATTCAAAGATATCTCTTCTCCAAACTAATTATCTATCCGTTTCATGCTTCCCTCCAGGGGTTCTGATGATGACGTGCGGGGGCTTGTCGAGTACTTTTCTTCCCACCTACTCTTCGAACTCGATGGATGACGGATGTGAATCAATGGGGAGTGCTTGCCAGTAGGCTTGCCCTAGTAGTGCGTTTACACTTTCCTTTCGCGTCGAAGAATGTCGGTATGAGAGGCAGAGAAGGCAGGAAGATGGGGCCTTTGAGACGGAGCGAAGGGCGACCTTCGTCGGAAATGATGATAGCAAGGTGATGGCGTAGGTTCACGAAGGACACCTTCCGTGACTCCGAAACGAACATATTCTACTTCGCAGCTTCCCGGTCTAAGCTGACAAGAGTAACAGTTCTGCAAGGCACCTCAATGGAAGCGAAGTGCCTTCGCAGCTGCACAAGAAAGCTGGGCGATATGTTGCCCTCCCGCAAACCTTGCGTTGGTGTTTGGTCAGGCTGCATTGTCTCTCGTCACTACACCGCCCACCAGAGAGAGATCGTCGACGACGTCCCTCTCTTCTGGATCAAGGACTCGAAAACAGCAGCTCAATCATCGACTCTGATACAAATGACTTGTACGTATCACCCAGTGAGGGTCTGGTGCATCTTTCATTCGCTGATATGGAGAACAGCATCGCTAGAAGGCCACACTATATATCCCGTCATCGGTGCCGACTTCATGGCCATACTCCTACAACATCATCATTGATCATGGCTATCCCAAACACTTTCGTCGTGTACAAACGCGACGCTAGACACCTCGCCTACTGGTTGATCCACGCATCCAACTTCATCATCAAGACGCGGAAAAGGGACGACGGCGCCTGGGAGCCACCGGTCGAGTTCAACACAACCGGACAGATCCGTGTCGACAACCTTCCATCGGTAGCCAAGTTCGTGAAGAAGCACATGCAGGCGATACCGCCTACCACATTCCGCCTTTTCAGGTCCGTCATCGACGCAAGGGCGGAGCATCTGGCTTTCCTGCGACGCATTGTGACTGAGGAAGACCCTCAGTATGGCAAAGACATCAAGATTCACGATACGTTTATCCGACTCGTCACAGAGGCTTTCGTTGCCCTTGGCGGAGATGTCTGGATAGAAAATGCGCAGCCAAGACGCGAGAAAGTTCGATCGAATACCAGCAATATCACTCCAGAAACGCTTGCCGACGCCATCAAATTCTCAGCCTTGGACTTGCAAAACCTAAGTCTCGAGAGCTTAGACGAGGATTCAAACGATGCCGACCCTGTTCCTCTTCGTGGATCCCAAAGGCGAGCCCAAGCAAAATCGGGTAGAGGGGGCAAGGGCAAGAAGAAGGCGAAGAAGGCTCCCGGTGCCCTCTTAAACCAGGTACCTATCGAGAACTACAGCATCGTCGAAGCCGATGGGATCGGGGAAGCTGAGAGTTTTATGGCTGCTTGCGCAATCGTCAAGGAGTGCATCATCCTCAGAAACTATCTTCAGAATGTCTGGTGCGAGACAGCGTACTGTGGGTTGCATGGTGCTATTGCTGGCACACTGTCTAAAGTCGCCATCAAAATGGTCCAGGATACCGAATTGGACGTCTTCGGCGAGATCCCAGAGTTACAATCATACGAAACGGTTATGGCAGCCATCATCCGTGGAAACCTCGAGACCGCACAAGGCACATTCATCAAAGCTTTGGCAGAGCTGAGTCCATCGAGTCGGTGTGACGGAGCCAAGACGGTCTCCGTCGACTTGAAAGAGTACATTCAGCTGGGAACCTACCGAGATCTGGTTGACTTCATCGAAGACTATCAACAGTCACAGAATGGGAAGCCGACTAAGAAGATGCTTGCCAAGATCAAAGACTGGGATCCAACTTTTGATCTACGAAATGCCACCAAGAAGCAAAGACTGAAGTGGCGGCATTCATACACGATCAACTGGCTTTACGATCTCGTCAACTCCTATACAGGACCTAAACGCCTTTATGAGCGAGGTTTACAAGAGTGGGAGCGGCTTGGAGATATCCCCGATAGTCCATTGGTGGGCGCTGAGCCGGTTCTTGGCCTCGGGGATTTCGCATGCTTTGTCACGGCGTTGGCAATCCAGCAGCCAGGAACGGATGTTCTCCGATACATCATGCCTCATCACGTCTTTCAGCTACAATGCATTGTGGATGCTTTCACCGTGTCATGTGGCTGGACCAACAGCACTCGGCGGGGACATGTCCTTGGACCACGATGTCTAGATACGCTTGGTCCGATGAAAGGTATTGATGGGTTTTTGGGACGCAGACAAATGGGAAATAGTAATGAGGAGCGCAATGGCAATGGCAAAGAAAACGACGGTACTAAACTGTTCATCGGTGACATCGAGCTGCACATCGGCGACAACAATAAGGACGACGAAAATCACAATAACGGCGATCAGAAGTTGAGGGTCAGCAATGGGCTTCTTCGGTCTGCCAACTTGCTGGCTAATTTTTACGGTGCAGAAAACCGTAACGTGCATAGGCGGACAATAATGGAGTTCTTGAAAGTAGTTTGCAGAGAATTCGACTTCCTGGGCCAGTCAGTCCCAATGGATGGCAACATACTCCCGATATCCCGTTTCGATCATACCGGCCCCAATGGTCTGTGGAGATACTCTCCGTTTCTTTGCGGCGTGGGACTGATGGAGGGTCTGGAAAGGGTTTACCGCACAAGCATGCTCGTCTGGGATAACCTCGAGGAACCGATGGCCATGATACATCTCCACAACATGCTTGTCCAACTCAAGCACATCGAACAGCCTTTGGCTCACTATGAAGTACTACAAGACATGTTTCGAGATAGCTTCTTCCCTGGCGGCCAAGCTCCACAGTCCAACTTCTCTGAAGCCTTTCTTCGCAGGGGAGAGCTCCTGTGGGGTGCTGGCAGAGCGAAACAAAAGCCGGCCCTCCCGGCATCGGCAGGATACCATCGCGCAATCGACGTCAGCAGAAACTTGGCCTTCAATACCAAGTCTCATTTGTTGCTTTACCGAGAAGCGGAATGGAACGTTAAATGGATACCAGACAATGAACTCAACCCACGGACTCGTTTGGCCTTGCTTCGCGCTTCTCAGCTGGTTACGAATCCTCCTCTGATCAGGATGACCAAGGACCAAAAGAATCTACTGGACCGCGTCAAAAAAGCTTTAGGTGTAGACGATCAAGAGCTACTGTCCCGAATGAAAGCCCTTTTGAGGGATTCAGGTCAAGCACAGTCCCAACAGTCCGGTACCAGACCGAATGCTATGCCGACTGAAGTCGTGTCGAGGGAATACCTTGAGCCTACTCGAGTGCAAATCCTCGATTTGGTCAAAGCAGACCTACACGACGATATTGATGGGAGCCGCTCTTACTCCACATTCAACTACATACTGTTGTATGTCAATATGATCGAAACCTTTGACAAAATTGAATACGAACTCGGAAAGGCACAAGATTCCGACTGCCAGAGTATTCTGGAGTTGAAGACAAGACTTCGGATGGTCGATGGACTGATGCGGAAAGAGCGAGAAAGGAAGAGCATCAAGATCGTTGGAAAGGTCTTGGAGAGCCAGAGAGAGTTACCATATCGCTATCCCCGGAACGAGAGGCCAGCGGAAACATTGCCTCGCGGAGAGGATGCCTCGGATATTGATGGAACTGAGATGTTATGCCCAGTCATGTGAAGAGTAATGCTTGGGCTGTGGCTCCGTGGGGAGAGATGGTTGGCTGCATGGTCAAGGAAGTGCCTTGGAGGGTTGAGTAGACTTACTACCCAGTGACAGCGTTTGCGTGAATAGGATTAGTGGATACTGTTGAGTTAATAGCCAATCTTGAACACGACTTCCAGCGTTGAATAGTGATCGCAGGAGCAACCTACGAGAGAGGACCACGATGAAAGTGCCGTGAACGCTAGCATGACTTCATCACCATCACTCATCGCGCGTGTATGTTGGTTGTCTACAACATGTAATACGAGACAAATGGCGCAAGATAGTGTAGAATTTGAAGAGTATCAACTCTAAATGACTTGGCTCGAGGCTCTTGGGAGTGGTGTTGAGCTTGTGATGTTCCGGCCCTTGTGCTGAGTTGTACCCGGGCTCATGACTTGGCTCTGTCCACCTCGAATTCCGAATGAATGCGCATTGAACTGGTTACATGTTCACAGGAGTCATTTGATCTTGAGAGACGAATGAGTGAAAGTACGCCGGCGACGTAGGACCGGCAACTTTGGTTCCTCGACGTGCGTCCTCCACGCGGGGCAGGGCACCTTGTCTGAGGACCTTGTCCATGGTTCACTGCTGTGATTTCCATGTCCCGGAAGTTCACCGGTTGGTGGATCAGCATCAGAGAAGTTCCCCTTGGGTCAAGAGCATGATGACTACCTTACCGTCCTGTTAGTAGAGTCGACTGAACGAAGCCGAGACAGCCTGCTCCTCGCAAAAAGACGATGCTTCCACTCACACATCGTGACAATGAAAGCTCAAAGAGTCCCGCCATCCTTTACAAGACCAGAATCGCAGACTTGTCAACGCACCTCCTTTACTTACCCGTACCTGACCTCAGGTCCACGATCCCACCAAACCCCATCAACCCCACCAACCTCAAAACCCCAGAGCGGGGTCACACCGTCCCGCCGCCGCCTTTCCCTACATCGTGAGATTGCTGCCTCGGTATCTACCATGAACCAGCACTTGTAGTGTAGTGGTTATCATCCTCGCCTTCCACTTCCCAATTTGGGATCCGAGAACAGCGAGGGACCCGGATTCGAATTCCGGCAGGTGCAATCGTTTTGTCATTTTGTCGTCTCCAAAACACCCCCCAACTCATCCTCCGAGTTGATTATGCCGTTGCATTTTCGGGACCTCACATCACCTTCAAATCCCTCATTCTTTCTGCATTCTACTGCATAGTGTCCCGCTCGTGAGCTTTCTTCGTATTCACGATGCAGTGATTCGGCATTGGCGTTGCATATACTTTCCTCACACATTCATCGTCAGACGACGGCGGGCCTCGAAAACAGGTCTCGATAGGGTCTCGTGAGCAATAGTGTCCCACGGTAGCGAGGTAGCGAATCTGCGAAATGCGTCTCGATGGAGTCCAACCTGAACTCAATGTCTCTCGATCATGAGACATTTTATTACCCAAACCTGTAAAAGAAGGCGAGAAGCAGGGATGGTGAAGAGTAGGGTATGTGAACAGTGAGGATATCAAAGTGTACTTATACCAGATGTCAAAGTCGTTGGTCTCCGTCCCACTTCTCTTCGAGCGATGGCTTCTTTTTGCAGCCTGCGCTACATCTGCATATACACACGCCTCTCGCTTCACATCAAGTGAGGTCAAGCGACCACTCTTCGCTGCGCACGCGAACAACGCACCACGCGCCCTGAGCAACTACAGCCGAGGGACTAAGGTAACTACTGCGGTGCCGAGAAAAAAAACTTGTAGCGTCAATTTCTGCCCAGACTTTGCGGGCGAAGCCAAAAAATCCAAAGAGGAGCGGCGCCAAAGCGGGACGTGGGAACTGTTGGACCTCTTCTCCTGTTTTCTCCTCGCTTGGGGTTTAGTCTCAGTCCATAGCGCGCATTGTAGTGCCTCGGATGTTTCTCACTGTCTCTCTTTTGCTCGTTGGTTCAGCCTGGCTCTTTTTCTTTTCTTTTTTTTGCTGTTTCTTCTCCCTCCGGATCGATTCTCCTCCGGTTGAATTTCTCCCCCCCGGGGGTGGGTTGGAAGGGCGCGGGTGTTTAGGAATATCTCAAGCCCACGATGTCGATGATGGGAGGGGCGTGTCGTCGTTCACCAAGAACTGGACTGGGACGTCAAGCGGTTGGACCCGTGCACGTCGTGGCGTTTAGATTCGCCAACGACATTTGATGTCTGCCTTCGCGGTGGCGCCAACCAAGGGAAGAGAAAAATTGAACAATGAGGCGTTTGTCCCATTCCCTCGGTCCGGTCAAGAAGGAAAAACCTTCTTAGCCGCCCGCAGCGAGAGTGGCTTCGACGCTAGATCAGTCAGTCAGCCAAACCAACAAGTAGAAAGAAGGGTACACAAAAAACTTGCTCATCGTATTCCTCTTCGTATTCCTCTTCGTGTGGCTTTCAGGTAGAAGTGCAACATCGACAGGTCGTGCATCTTTGCTGCCCCTCAGAACCCCTGCCCAGCCTGCAAGCCACATTGAGGCTTGAGCAGCGCAATGCTTGAACCCAGGGCGGGATTCAAGCTAAAAAAAAAGGGACCAAACCCACCTCAAGGCTCATCGTCCCAACCCCTCCCCTCCTCCCATGTAAGTGACATGGTAGGTAAACTTCTTAGCTCAGTACTGTAAATCCTGAGCTAATTAGCCCACTAAGCCCCTAATCGACAAACGGCATACAATGCTCGCATGCCGCGGACTGCTAGACAGCAGAGCTAGCCGGGCGCTAGGTCCATCGGTGACGTGAGCCGCGAGCCGGGCGCCACTATTGAAAGTATATATGTCGTACGGGATAATTGGAGATTGGAGCAACAATGGGGAGACGAGAGAGAGAGAGAGAGAGCCGAGAGCCCTGCGGCAGTGGTAGAGTAGGGACGGGTGCGGTCCGGCGCTTAGAGCCGTCACTTCGTCTGTGACTGCCCTTCCCGCCTCGTATCTCTATATTTGATCTTTGTTTGCCGAAGGAGGGGGGCAGTAGTAGCAGCTGCTACCAGCAGCATGAGGGGGTGTACAGTTTGACAGTGTACTACCACCGAACTTGCTGCCAAACGTACATGGTTCCTTGTTGTCGGGTATCATGACAGAGGGGGGCAACGTCCACTGGTCCAGTAGCCGGCAGTGTCATCGGGTTGCGGCTCTTGGTGGGCATATGGCGATCTCCCTACCTACACCTCTACCCGTACTCTAGCTCTGGTGAGCTCGGCTATCGTTGCTGCCCATTCGTCGATCAGGCTTGCATCTGCCCCTGATCAGTGATAGGAATGATCTAGCCAAAATGTTCCCACAGAGAACTTCGGTGCCTCGGGTTTGCAATCGACTGGTTGTTACTGGTCTGAGACGGCCCAATTGCGAATCGGCCCGGTGCAGACATTCCGGAGGGTTCTTCAACATGCCATGGCATGTGGTCGGAGGAAAGAGACCGCCCAGGGTTGCAACATCCAAGGTAGTATGGAAGCTTCGTACGATATTCCACTTCCCATCTGCCGAGTGCTGGAATCCTGCTCCGGGACGACAGAGCCAAATAAGTCCGCTTCTGAGTGATGTCCCGCTCTTTCTCTCGCTGTCTTGTGCTGCGCCGTTCAAGCTTTCTGGGCCGGGGCTTGGCCCGGCTCGGCGTGCAGTTTCCGTTAACGATAACGACATTCCTCTCCAAAGTGTCGAAATCGAAAAGCACCACGTGCGATGTGACACGAAGTTTGTTCAGCTTCTCAGCACAATAAAATGTAGATCTTCGAGTAGCACAGACTCAGTTCTAATTTTCCGTCAAGGAAAGGCTTCCGTTCAGTAGAAGAGTGAGGCTTCCGTTATGACTTCAGCGTGATGCAGACTGACAGCTCAAAGACACTTACGGGCGCTTACAGTCAATAGAACTAAGAGGAGCACGGACTGGACGCAGCACCGAGATCAGACGGCGCCCGTATTCGTGCCGGGCTGGGTCCTCTGTAACAGGCGCAAAGAGCTACCCTTCATGCTTCTGTCGTCAGAGTCGCCCGCGCCTGGAAGCGAGGCAAAGGCACAAGCGGTCCGGGCCATCGAGCGGGCGATCTATGCTGCTGCATAATGCGAGACTACGTGGGTGGTGCCAGCAGGCTAAGCCTCCGAGTGTGAGTCGGAGATGAAAGCACGCCCGTGCTCGTGTGTCCAATGTCAGTTTTCCACGCCAATTCTCCCGAATCCTTGGACATGGAAGTCAGGCGGCTGGTGCGGGTAAAGACGGTCGTCCGGCAAGGTGATCAAGGGTGGTGATCGAGCGGGCCAGGGATCACAACAAGCTTGATTCCGCCTCATCTTGCCGGAGCAAGACGCATGTACGGATAGCCCTTTGATCGTCGTCCAGAGAATCAGGAGACGGGAAGGAAGAATGTTTGCTGTTCTGCGTGGGGTCGGCAACAGGGCTTCTCCGTCCAGACCAATAACCCAGACAAGCGAGCGCCACGCGTCCACGTCCTCTGAGAAGTTTGGATGATGTTTCAGTCTCCCTCGCGGTCAGACACGGCGGTAACCCAAACAACGGATGCAAGGCGGGGGAAGGAAAAGAAGCAAATCGTGGGAGCAAACCGATACGGAGCTGCCGGCAAGCCCGGGCCCCCGGACGGCCAGGTCTCTTCCACTCCCGGACCGTTCAATCCTCAAGATGAGTGGAGCAGGGCACCGTGACCGTCCACAAAGCCTCCGGGTCATCCGGGTGGGCTGGGCCATTGTGTGTCTAGGCGATCCTGACTTAGCATGCCTGCTAAGTCACTAACAAATTGGAAGCTTGTCAAATGAGTTCCTCAATAAGCTCCAGTGCTCCAAAGTTTAAACTTAAATGAGCTCATAAGAACCTAGCAACAGCCAATGAGACAAGTCATTGGCACCACTGGCGCAACGTTATGATTGGTGTGATTTCCCGAAAGCGTCCATGGCCAAGGGGGCTGGTCGATGGAAGGGGGAAACAAAATAAGGATAGTGGCGCTCATATGATAGTTTGAAACGGGAAGTGATAGGTATGCCACCACGGTTGCAGCGCCATGTATCCGTAGCGTAACAAGCTTTCAGCTTTCCCCCTCTCGGAGTCCTTTTTGGTCCTTTTTGTTCCTTTGCTTCGCTCTTTACTCCTTTGCACCCCTCGCTCCAACTCCATCCGTGCTGTCGCAAACATCGTCTTCCCGTCGACGCTTCCTTTTTGACGCGCTCAGACTACGCACGACACGTCTTCTCGTTTCCGAAACACAGTCGCCATGAGATTCTCCGCTGTGATCATCTCGCTTGCCGGCTTTGCCGCCGCGCAGGATGTACTGCCCACGTGCGCTGTACGTTCTCCCTTGGTCCTCCTGTTCTCAGCCTTCAATCGTAGTCGCTTGTAATTCGTGCGCTGACGGAGATGTTGTGGATGAGTAGCAAGGCTGCGTAAATCAATACACTACTGGCAGCGGCATTGCTGGCTGCAGTCAAGTCGACGTCAAATGCATCTGTTCCAACTCTGGCTTCCTCGACGGTATCGCATGCTGTCTCGCCGGCGTCTGTCCTGAAGCGGACCAGGCCACCGCCGTCAAGTACGCGAAGAACATCTGCACCGGCGCAGGCGTCACCGTACCTGACCAGGTCGTCTGCAAAAGCGCCAGCTCAACACCATCGGCCACTGCTTCACAAACGAGCGCCGCTGCGTCTGGAGCCACGGCATCCGGAGCAACAGCGTCTGGAGCAACGGCGTCAGCATCCGCCACCAACACACCGAATGCTGCGCCTACAATGGGACCAGTTGCGCTACTTGGAGGTCTCATCGCGGCCCTGGTTGCATTGTGAACTCCGGTTGGAGACGGGACTAGGTGTTGTAGGATAGTGGCCATGAAGTCCGTCGCACAATGGTAGGGTTGTTCGGCTGCGCATGCTGCTTTCTGGTGGCTTCAGAAGATGGTCCTGATTTGAACGATACGGTGTTGTAATTACCGCTTCAGCTGAATAGTAGTAAACCCTTCAATTCAACTTGACAAACCTTAACCTCGCGTAAACTGGAGGCCCAGGTTGAGATGACGGAGAGAAACATTCGTCGTCATTGCCGTAGAGGGGAAATCACGGGATGATGACGCTTGGATGAGAGATCCTTCATTCGTTATATCAGATGCTCAGTGTCTGACACTTGAATGGTTCAATCGAGCCGAAACATTTTCCGGCCGCGTAGATGACATTGGCCCGGTAGAACCATGGGTAAAAAACCTCATGAGTAGGTATCAAGCGTTGAGACCCCTAGACCCTGCACTCAACGACAATTATCTACCGAACCATCAGCGGGGATGACGTGAGGAATGTCTGTGAGCCTCAAACCGTCCGTTCACTGAGCTCGTTCTGTGCATTCGTTCTCAAGCTGCATGATTTGCTCCGAGGTTATTTTGGGTTCTCGATGAACCTTCTTCCAAGGATCTTGAACTTGCCCAAAACACCCTCGAGCCCCTCTGGTAAAATAGTTATAGAGGGGAAGTAGGCAATGAGCGTGAGTTATTGTGATCGCTCACAACACACCTTGACTCAGTGGTCGCTCTGAGACAACGCCAGGTGACCAGGCTCAAGGCTTGAACACATAATGATTCGCAACCAACTTCACCAGTAAGCGTGGGATCGTGGACGTACTGGTGGCAGCTACAAAGACGTAATAAACTTGATCTATTAGTAGATGCGGAGAGTTACTGCCGATTGTGACTCGAAACTAGGCTTACCGAAAGTTCCTGCCGGTCGTCACAGATGAGCGGACATGTCCCCTTTTGAAGTTGTCTCCGAATCTTCAAAGTACCACCAGGAGCGCGGCAACAGAGAAAGCTTGAGAAAATAGCCGCGTCATTGAGCATGATACTCCCGGTGACCGGGAGACCCCGTCGACGGAGATGAAGTATTCGTCTTCGCCGTCTCCGTCGTTCATGAGATGGGATGTTGCGATGGAACGGTAGCAACCGTTACGATGAAAGTAGATCGGAGTGTCTCCAATTTTACGCGCCGCGTGTATGTCAATCAGTCAATGCAATGTGAAGGTCGTCGGGAGTGGGAAACCTGGTTCTCTCATGCCCATGTCCCGACGTTATCCCGACTTGGCGATACCTTAGTGAGACCAAGATATCATATCTAATCTTATCCAGTGCGAGTTGCAGAGTGAGCAGAGAGGCTCTGTTGAAAGGTAGTCAGGAGACAATCGCAGCGATGTGGCGTTGAAAGCGATACGAAGAGGCCGAGAATTGTTTTTCGGCATGGGGGCCGGGTGGAGACTCTCTTCGGTCCGTCGTTGCCACGAACACATTCGTGCATACGTCTCCGCTAGAGGAAGGGTGTCTTCGGACCCCGGGCCTTGACAATGGTAACCTCGCGGTGATGGAATTCCGAAATTTCCAGTACATATATTGTCGGCCGCCATCTGCAGATGGCGGGCATGAGTTGATGATACACCGTCAACGACTCGGCCCGTGGAGCTTGCACCCCCACAGAGGCAGCAACGAAGCAAGGAAGCCCTCCTCCACCCAGTCGAAGAGCAGTTGACACTCGACAGACACGAGCCGCGCTGACACGCAGCCACTGCCGTCTGCATTCTGTGGGTCTAGTTCATCAACCTTGTCAGCCGGTTAAAGCTACACGCGTTGGTGTGAAAATGTCAAAAGTCGCCAGTTATCTCAATTTGGTATGGGAAGATGCCATGGAGGGGGGCGTGAGGCCGGAAGTCAAAGTACGTGCGGCCTGGTGTGAGAATGGTAGCATGTTCAAGGTGAATGGTGCTACCTGGACTCTCACGTCGTGCCGTGGTACGTTCAATTTCACGACTGTGCGTCGATAGCCCACTTCCGCCTCTCGTCTGCAACTTCGATACCGACATCGACTCGAACCTTCGTATTCCGGATATTCAGGCTATGCCTAGAGACTCTGCGGGATGGAGACTCACCCTTCCTCTCTCGCTTCTTCTCCATAGGGCAAGCATGGGCTCCAAGGTCGAGCGGTTACTGCGAGACTCTCCGCTTGCTGTCAGGCTTTTTTTTTTTTTTTTGGGTTAACCCCGGCGCAAGCATCCCTCATAATACCCCTTCTAGTCGATAGTTGCGAGCATGGGACAAGGAGACTTCGCCCGTCGGGTACCTGTCAGAATGGACTTGGAACCGCCATGATTCGCCCAAGCCCCGATTGATGCGATCATCCAGCTTTGGCAGCCGCCGTGCAGGGAGCTGACAAGGGCAAGGGACAGGAAGATCAGATGAGGAATTTGGGGTTGTGGGTGTGGGGAGGAGGCTGGATGGCGCTTTGATCATTTCGAAGTCTGGTGTGAAACCTGAGGGTGGGTTTGTCGACGAACGCTTTGACGGTGACTCCTGGCTCTCCGGCAGGGGAGAGCAACAACTCAAGAGCTGCAACGAAACACGAGTGTGAAGAAGGTCAATGGTTGCCAAGGAAGCCAGAGTGCAACGAGGGACGCCCGCAGTCAACGACGAAGATCGAGGCGAGGTGCAAATATTATTGTGCTTCTCTCAGGTGCGGAACATCGTGATGTGCGGTCTTGGAGAGAACACCGAGGGGCTTGCTTAGCCAACGTCAGCCACTGTTTGCCGAGCGCTCTTCCATTGGTGGACGCGAGATCGACGAACGTATTCCGTTGTCCGCGAGGACCCATCCATGTATTTTTGGCTGGTGGTTCTTTTTCAGTGGGAATTGTGGCTGTCAAGGCCCGGAAGCAAGCTCGATGAAGAACATATCCATTGACTGAGAAAACATCGGCTACGCCGCTTCGCCGTACGTTCCGACTACTACTGTCAAGCTCCTGGCCCGTCAGCCTTCCCTGCTTTACGTTACGTTGGGCAACTGACATGGACCCATAGTCTCAAAAGACTGACCTTGGGGTAGCCCTGAATTTCGGTAGGACGCCTTGTATAAAACGCTGTTGCACATCAAGCACGGGAGCTGATGGCCTGTCACAAGGTCGAGCTCGAAGCTGGGTACGACGGGCGTTCAGTGTTTCTGCGAGAAACCAGTCGGAAGGTCGGAACTTTTCTGCTTCCTTGCTGCGTCATTGTTTGCCTTGGAAGCCTTGTAGACGTGCCATAATGCTTCGCTTTTAGCTATGCGTACGGATACTGTATCGTTTAAAACCACGGTCCCTGTCCTGCCGAGTGCTATTGTTCACATTGAGGACTGCTGCCGTTTGTGGTCCGCTAGGTAATAGCCAGTGGGATAACAATTTATTGTTCCACCAAAGTCGGCATATCCCAAGAGCATCGCTGCCGTGGGATGAGACATGCCCGAGCTGGTGGGCTAATAGCCTGACAACGTCTTTGTTGGAGGTACGGATACTCTGTACGTTACGAGGCGTGGCTACCCGGTGGAGAGGAGAAGATGCAGGGTCATCATCTGTCAAATCCCATACGCCCCCTCCCTTGGACGATGATTCTGCACGCCTGGATCTGGAACCAGACTTTTAAGATTTTGGCAGGCCAGCACGAAGCTCGGCAATCCATTTGCGGCTGGCGTCCGTCTTTCCGGTACGACGTGACCTGTTGCAATTGTCCCCACGCAAGCCAGCAACCGTCCCATAAAGCTGGTGTTGTCTGTGTGCGGTCGGACAGGCACTAAAAAAAAATTGGACGATGGCCTTGCATTTGCGAGGATGCCACAATAGCAAGCAATGCCCTGGATCAGTCATTGAGTTGATGGCGCGTCCTGCCGCTTTGTGCTCTTCCCCATCGTCGCTCTGGGCCCCTCTTAGGAGTGTCTAGTGATTTCCGTTCTTCTATCCGTACGGAATACAGCTGCTCATCTCCGATCGGTCCCAGATGAGATCGGCTTGCATCATGAACAGGCGGCATACCCTGGCAGAGTTGTTCATTGATAGCGACCGCATCAAAGTCAAGAGACATACGTTGCCCTCTCAAACGCACTCGAAAGCAGGGAGGCTAGCTCGACATGCGAAGACAGAATCGGAGCTCGACTGATACGTTCCATGAGGTATTTAGATGCGGCTTTGAATTTCAACCCCCGGCAAGCGCTCTCTCGGTTTGTCTCGTCGTGGCGTTACTGGCGTCAGGGGCGCTGAAGACGATTGGATTTGCTCAATTGTTGCTGTGCACGCCAGCTCTTCCATGTGCGACCAGAGTCACGTTTCCAAAAGATCCCCGAGCCTGAGGGACAGGCTTCCGTGGAGTGGGGGTCTGGCAAGCCACTGATCACTGATCCGATCATCGACGAGCACAGTCCCAATGTCTCAGACATGTTGTAACTTGTACGGATACGCTCGTCTGTCAAGCTCTCAAGCGATGTCAGCCCAGGTGGCTGAAGGATGTTGAGTTCCCTCGACCTCGACACCTTGTAGTGGCGCCCAGTAGTATGTACCGCGGCTCCGTCCTCCGGCTTCCGTTGACAACACACTCCACTTTCCGCAAGACCTTTAATCTGCATCTGCATTCTACGCAGTACGGAGTAGAGGCCTGACATTGGCTGACCTGCCAGATTATTTGTCTGAGGTCCAGTGCCCATGCAATCGTGTCCCGAGCCGCATGGTGTGCATGTTTGACGAGGTGGGCCTCACAGGGCAAGCCGGGGTCAGCTTCCGAATGCCGTTCCATCAGACACCCGCTGTAAATAGACATTTGGTGATGTGATTGTCAACGGAGGCGGCCTTAACAGACAGATATAGTGCAGGCAGGGGCGTCAAATGAGTTGATTTGGGCCAATGGAAAACAGGGTGCGCCGGAAACCGTCGCATGGGTCGATCTTGGTTCAATGGTTGTAAAGTGTCGATAGCACAATCCAGTAATTGGCATACTATTGCATTTGGGGATTGCGGCCGGGGGCCAGACATTGGCGGGAGCTTTCGAGCATCTCTGTCGCAGACGGACGGTCCCTGCGGGGTGTCACATTGTAAATGCGGTGGTTGAGACGACAAAGACTGCCCGCTTTGGACTCTACTGGTCGTTTTGCTAGCACGTACTTCCTGTTCAGGATGTTCCAAAGGGGACGGCCGTTGTCATGATTCTGCTTTCGTCCACATTTGACATCGTATCCCTTTTGCGGTCTTCATGGCATTTTATCGGGCTGTTGACCTGGCACATGAAGCCCGCATGGTGTTGCACTCAACCATGCCCGGACCTAGCTCCGGTGTGCAGTGCGAAGAGAACGTACGAAGGGCGTGTAGGGGGTCTTGATGCCAGTGACAATAGCTATAACGCCGCAAGAATGAGTGTCATTTTAACCTAGCCCTAGATAATATCAGTACCATTACGAGAATGGCTGTGTTGGGGGTTCGGCCTTCTTGGCCAACGCCGTTGGAGAACTGAACGAGATCATGGAGTGCCAACATGTGCGTTGTTCCAAGGATTCTACCTGGCTGCTTGGTCGTGGAAAATAGTAAAAATTCTCAAATGGCCCGCGCCAAAGGTGCATACTTGGCTGGTGTTACTAGAGGAGACTTGTTGGAGTAGAGTTATTGATGATATCGAGTCGCCGATGTTCTGAGACATTTTCTTCTTCAAGGTGTCTTAGCTACGCAGCCAAGTGTAAACAGTCTAGTCGAGCAGAGGCTGGTCATAGCAGGCCCAAGTGGGAGTGCGAAAGAGTGCGCAACATTATGGGCCCAAGATTCAACCTCCTGCAATGAATGCAGTGCAACCGCATATGCCCGGGATTGCATTAGGCGCATGATGGTCTGTACCAGTCTGAGCCTCTAGGAAAGCCACTTCTGGGAGGACTCGACGTCGATTGGAGGCAGTAGTTACTCTGCAGATATCCTTAGTATCTGGTTGTATGGGTGGCGTGTCCGTGGCAGGAAAATGGAATGCCACCCACCTCTCGGTATCAGAAGAAACACAAATGTGTGTGATGATGAAAGCGAGCCGCCGTCGCAGGCTGGGTCGTAGGTAGACAGAGCCAGAGCAAGGCAAAAAGAGAGTGTGTGTGAGTGGGTGCTGGCGGGTGGGCTGGTTGTGCTTGGACCGCGAAACGACGAAAAGAGCCGACGTGGATTCGGGCCTGCTGCGACTGACTCTATCCGTGAAGGTGACGGGACGGAATAGGGTAAACAACGAGCGAGCCAACAAAGGCCACAGTCAGAAGAGGGCCGACGACGGGGAACGGGGCCCGGGGGCGTCGGTGTAGGTACCGTCTTGGTGTGGGCGTCTCTCAATCGAGATATTGATGTGTGGAGAGGGCGGGCGTTGCGCGGAATATGTTGGGCATGAAGAAGAGAAGTGTGTCCGTTTGCCAGGGCACGGCCACAGTCTTTTTTTCCAACATTATTCGTGCATTGGTGAAGACAGGAATTGGCTGGTACAATCTTACTTGGACAAGCGACGCATGATGCGATTCGAGCGCTTCCGATACAGCAAGGTCCTGGCTTCACTCGGCGTGACAATTAGGCGGAGGAGGAGGGAAGTAATTTAAGGACAAGAGAGAATTCGGTGAGGGGATTCTGGAGACCAAGGGGAAAAGAAGAAAAAGATGGTGTGTATGAGCGTGTTTGCTGTGTCCTCTTGTGCTTCGGATTGAGGTTGAGTCGAGTATCGAGTGTCGAGTCGAGCGTCATGTCGTGTCGGCACATGGATTCATGGGAGCAGCACTGCAACAGACACGGGGCTAATCTAAAGGGAAGGTGCCCTGCATGGGGCTGCTCCTTCTGGATGGACCGTCGCCCTGACCTGGGCCCCTGTACACCACTGTACGAGTAAGAAAGTACTCCGTACTCCGTACACCTTGGCCTTGACCTTGGCTTGATTGGGTGATTGGGTGATTGGGTACGAACTACGAGGGCCAAGTAACATGGAAAGAACAGTGGGCTCTGTCTTACCTCATCTGCGTCCCATCTGTGTGTGTAATGCTTCCGTGTGGTCCTTCACCGAGGGCAATCGCGCCTTCTCGTGCGCCTGCACCTCGGACTCAGTGCGGATCGCGGGTTGGGGGTCTATTGTACCACATGATGCGGCAACTGCCCAAAGCTGATGGATTCCTTCTTGCTGATTCATGCCTTGGTCAAGCATCAAGTCCAAACCGAGCCAACAGCAATGATCACCTTTGCAGCATTGCACCAACAAAAAAGAAGGCAAGGGCGGGGCAATATGTTTCCGTTTCTTTGCTTTTCTACCTCATGTTTTCTCCCTAGTGTCTCCCCGTGGACATCAATGACCCGACGTATTGACCCCTCAAGAGCTCTCCATCCGCGGCGGCAGCAGCCAAGAAATGCATCCATGTTTGCAGGGTTGCATGAGGGAGAAACGTCGGGTCAAAGAATGGACCTGAAGCATCAAGCTCGTTGCACTGCCATTGCTATTGCCATCCAGGTCGACAATGGAACTTAGACGTACGTCCCCGACCAGCTGTGGCAGCTGGAAATCACCGGTTCAGTCTTGCAGATGATAAATCAGTACTCCGTACCAACTGCGAAGTACTTGGCGATATCCTTGGTGGTTGACCCTGGCGCGAGAGCCTGTCACATACAGGAATACACCTACAGATACATTCCCCCCTACCTTGCCTACCTTGCTAGGTAGATCACACATTAAGAGCTCACAGCTTGACATCACTGATCAGTACCAAGATTTTCTGCATATAATGTCTAGGGCGTCCAGTGAGAGACATGCGGGGCACGGGGCTGAAGAAGGGAATAGCGCAAGGGGGAGAAGAAGAAGAAAGCGGGCGAGGATAAGATGGTGATGGATGATCCTCCTGGAGGTCCAAGGCATACTCCGTAAACAAGGCAAGCACGCAAGGAAGGAAGGAAAACTGCCTGCATAGTTTGGGACGGAAAAAAGGAATGCATGGTGAAGAGGCACTATTGCGCACACCTTCTTCTTTCCTCGTTGTTTGCCGTCAATCATCTGTCGGGACCTACCTACCTTCGATTATTCTCTGAGGTGCCTTCCGGTAATAATTCAATCAAGGTACGTATGATGCTCTCAGTTGGAGTACGGAGTAAGGTAAGTAAGTACCTTGGCTAAGACAGGCACGATCCGGAATACCTTCCACTCCTTCACCGTGCTTACCTTCCCGTCCTTCTCAACGAAGCTGCCCACACTGCACCTCCCCTCCCCGGTTCTCCCCCCCTCCAACTGCACCTGCCTCCCGCACCCGCACCCAAGGTAAGGTGGTAAGGTCGCACCTGCACGTTGCACATCCCCTCGACTCCACCCCAGCTCCTTCCTATCGACATTCGTTCTGCAGTTTCCGCAGTGTGCAGCTACCTCGCGCTACTGCTGCAGAGCACGGCCTTGCCACTGTCACTTTTCTCTCCTTTTTTGCATCTTCATCATCGTTTTCCCTCCCAATTCGTGCCACTCTACGGATACATTACCTTACCTTCTTAACGTAGTTACACATCCTTGAGATTGAGAGGCTCAGAGCATCTGGCCCATGCCCGCGTCTGCCCACATCCGTTCATGTCAGGTCTTGCTTCCTACTGCAATTCAATTCGTCTGTCCGCTGCATATCCTGCCAACAGGGGCCTACCGCCGCACGCCTCCCACTCTTTCATCCCTCCATCACATCATGAGCTGATCGAGGCTTCAGACTCTTCTCCTCTTGACTCTGGCACCGTCTCCGGTCTCTTCCCCGAATCGCTTCAATCAGCCGACTACCACCACCACCACCTCTAGGAGTGGGTTATCACTTCCTTCTCTCGGCACGGCTTCTTTTTTTTTGTCTCCGCTTCGCTTCAGCATGCTGGTCTCGGCCGTGCTAGGCCTGACATAACCCCCAAGACGTTGCACATTGGACCAACTCAAAAGACGTTTCGCTCCAAAGTGGACATGCCCGAGACGCTTTACTCAGTACCGTTCCTTTGCCGATATGTTGACGATACACTGAGACTCCCAACTCCAACTCTAGACATCGGAAGCCGACTGCCACCCTATGCTCCCACCCTGGACCACTGCTGCCGCCTCCATTCGGCGCTGGCCATGGCAATAGCGGCGCTCATCATGTCGTCTACTATAGTAAAGTTTGGACACCGCTTCCATAAGCCACCAAGGAAGGGTGCTACTAGACGTACCAACCAACTTTAAGTCGTACACCGACTTCGCCGACTTCGCCGACGTCGTTCTCTAATCTCGTCTCCGCCCACTGTTGGTCCGGAGAGTACGGATACCCATCTCTGCTGCGCAACCCGCTAATATTGACCATCTCAACATACATGTGCCTTGAAGCACATCATCCACACCCCTTGTGCAGTACTCTGGCTGGCTGGACTGGGCATCAGATCCTCAGCTCTCTGTTACTGATCTTGCAACAACTACGCCTGCACCAGCGCCAGCAATGTCACAAATGTCATACCCGACTTCATTGCGTCCCTCAGCGTCCCCAACGGCAATTACCCTTTTCTACCTCGGCGCCAATTCGTCCATGCTTTTGGGACTAAATTTGTGTCACTCTTCCTCAATGACAACGAAGGACACCTACGGATAGTCGTTGCAAGATCAAGCGCCAGTAACCAACTTCCGCGCCTCAACATCCCTCCAAACACGTCGCATGTATAATATGTCGGCCATTACTTTCGCTACTCATTTCAGAGCGCTTCGAATCATTCTCACCGAGCTAACACCCTTCACATACTGCCCTTGTTCAGTATCGTATGCCCTCCGCGCCGAAAAGCAAGTTGGGGCTG